CACTGGTGCACTCGACGTCATGTTCACATGCTTGAGACATTCCTGATTTCTTAATTACATCGCCAGCGCCTTCCATTCAAGAGCATTTACGTTCAACAGAACGGCAACACATCCCATAGAGCCTGCGTGTCGATGAGTTGCCCGCAACAATACTTAAATCTATCGGTTTGGTAAAAAAAAAATGAAGATGGCATGGGCAGCAAGATCTCAGATGTGACTTACCTGATTCCTTTCTATGCGGCTATTTGAAGAAAAACGTTGTACGCATATAGACCTCGCACATAACAGGGACCTGAAGGAGACATTTGTGCAGAAGTGGCCGGAATCTGGAGCATTGTGCGAAGCGGCTGTCAAGAGCTTTGAAAAATGTTTGCTTTCATGTGTTGCATTTCATGGAGACCTTGTGAATAACATCAGCTTCAATACCTGAGCTGTAACATGTTGCATTTGAATCATACCACCTTGAATAGCATTTATACAAAACCATCCTGCTTTTGAGGCATAATTAAAAAAATGACAAACCATTTAAATTGCATCCATGTGTCTGTCACCTTGTATACAAGGAAAACGCTCTTTTTTTTCTCCCCCAGATTCTCTGTATCCGACGGAGTACGAATTCGCAATGATGACTGACAAGCTCCACTACCTGAAGCCCTACAACGGTGCACCGATATTCTTCGATGCAGCCAGGAGCGTATGCCAGACAGGAGGGGGTGATCTGGTCATGGACGATAAGGGGCAAGCCTGGCACAATTTCCTCTCCTCCTACTCGCTCGCTCAGTTTGGACCACAGTACGGCAGGTTTTGGATGGGGGCAACTGATCGCATAGTTGAAGGTGATTGGCGATGGGTCGATGGTAAGTTCTATGGTAATATGTATACGTAGTAGGAGTTTCACTCATATGACACATATACCGTGGTAGTAACATCTCGATTGCAAATATAATGTATTGCCCGAGGTATACATTTTTAGAATGATTCTGAGGTATACCTGTCATTCAGGCAACCTCTACACCAAAAGAACCACATTGGGGATCATGAAAGAAAGGAAGATAGGACCGGAGGGGAACGAGTGTGGACCGTTTTGTCTGGACTTCACCTTCCCAGAGTCCGGACAGAGAAACGAATAGTCCCTACGAGGCCACATCAGAATCCGGGGGCAAAGAAGAATAGAAAAGTGGATTGCCTTCATTCAAGAATAAAATTTCTGGCCAGCGCCTCATCGACATATTGAAGAGAGTGCTGATGTATTTTTTCTGGATAAGGAGGGATCCGTGTAGACACTGCGAAATTACTCTTTGCAGATGCTTTTCATAATTTGACTGCGATATTTTGGGAGAGACATCCCTACTGCAGCTGTCAAAGGCGGGTTAGCAAGGAGGGTTTCCAACCCACTGATCCGTCTCCTCGCTTCCGCTTTGAAGGATGAAAACGTGACTCCAAAAGGGTATAACCAAGGACTATAGGGGCAAAGAAACGAATAGAATGGGTTGAGTATGGAGGAATCATCCTTTGATGCGCTCGAGCATCAAACGGTAGGAAAATGAACTCATTGCCTGGTCTTTTGGTGGCACTCTGTTCATCCAAAAATTAAGCAATTGCAACGCGCGTGTGCTTGGAATATGATGGTGCGAAAGTGCATGAGAAGGGGAAATAGAAGCGTCAGTTGTGAAACTCTCCCCTATTTTCCTGTTGATTTCATAACTGCATATTACGTCGATGACAGATCTACCTCTCGTCCTTCGCAGCCAAAGATTCAGGGCTGTCACGCTTATGCTTATGCTTATGCGCTTGTGCTGGAGGTCGGCAATTCATTCCGTAGTATACGGAAGACATGCAGCCCATGTACGGTCGGAGTTGGAGGTGATCTTTTTCTGATTTGCTTGAGAGACATGCCAAATTTCTTATTCATTGCCGTTTTGATGGTTTCTTGAAAAACCCAGGGATTCTCTAAATGCATCGTATGGAGTGCGTTGACTTTTCGAATGCCTGACACATGTTCATCTCGAATGCGAACCTCGATCGAGTTGAGCATCTCATCATCTACGCCATTAATGCTCCCATAGTTTCGAGGGAAAAACAGTGATGGAAATGCAAAAATTACAGGGATATAAACTTGGAGAAGATTAAGATAAATTCACGTCACGTTTCCGCAGAAACTCCTGTCTGTTGAAACTTTCGCCATCATTATTCTGCTCTGGATTTCCTATTTTCAAAACTCGATGGACTTCATGAGCCGACAATCCGAAATTTCCCATTCAAAATAACAAAATTCCCAATTGGAAGCTAGTTCTTAAATTATATACTTAACATGCATATACGTAACATATACTTAACATACACCGTATGAAACTATACAGAGAAAAGCGAAATATGTTATTGACTGTACCTAGGAAGCCCCATGAATGGAACCAAGTTCTGGAGAACCAATCCTCCTGATCCAGATAACGGCCTGGCGGCCGGATTACCACAGGAAAACTGCTTGGAGATGTTGAGCTGGGGTAACTGGGGCGGTCTGTGGAATGATGGAGATTGGAACGACAACGACTGTCAGTATCCAGATGTGCGCCGCTACGTGTGCGAGATCCGCCTTCCCTAAGTGTTGGGGAGTCACATCTCCCAGCTTTTTTTTTATCCGGGAGGAAATAGGACTACTTTCTTTTCTTACGTGTTTCCATGCTGCATTATTCTTTTTAAATATTTATTTGATGAAAAAATGATAAAGTTCGAAATGCCAGAACTGATCGCATGAGATCCTCATCAGACACAAATATTTGCGGTATATTGATTTAAAAAAAAAAACGAGAATGTGGGAATTTTGACGCGCTTGAGATGTGTGCTCGTATCATATGTACTCCATCCTTGATTCCCAAGAGGAACACTTCGAATTCCACTTTGGAGAAGTGGTTTGGACCGCCTGTGAGGCATATATGAAGCACTTATACTCTGCACTTTTCACGGGAGATTCATATCTGACGTACATGTCTTTGAAAGCGTGTATTTGTGATTTTTTTCTCTGGTGTTTACTTTGTGGTTTTGCCTGACTAAATTTCGAGTACACGTACAAGTTACTTATTTACAATTAATTATTTACTTACAATGTAGAACTACAAGTTGACGGTGTTAACTGTGTTGTATTCCAATAATTATGCTTTTTATGTTTGTTGCATGCCAGTTACTGATTGCATTCACCGTAATTCTCTTGTTGAAACTAATATGAAAGTGAAACAACACAGCCTTTTAATGTTATAAATAGTGGTATAAATAGCCTCCCTCTCCATGCCTCTGATTTCACTCATATTTATTTTTTCTTGACACTTTTCTCTCAATTTTGCAAATATTTTTATGACTACGACTTTTAGCAACTTTTCAATGCGCCATGTTCTCTTTTTTTTAATTATTGTATATTGTATTCTAAGGTCTTTTAGGATCCAGTGGTCTGCATGAGCTTTTAGCGTGGTGACAACATAGACGGGATTAAAATTTAAAAAAGGCAATCAGGGAGAATTGAATTTCATGAATTTCGTGCACACGCGTTAAAGTCTTCGTTGCAAAGAGTGTGCAAGAGGGGAGAAACATTGCCTGGATGAAACCGCTAAGGGGATCTCATTTCAAGTGGAAAGTCGTTTACGCACTCCTTCCCGCCATGACTGACGGGACATCGGGACTTCCCTTTAATATGGAAGCATTAAAAAATGGTTTCGTTCAAACGTTATGTTTACTCTCTTGCAAGCTGCGAGTAACTATATCCATTGTATGCACATAAAAGTTTTCCGAGCAAAACGTATTATGGCACATTGTGGTTGTTACTCTTGACATGTCATCATCAAACCACTATATTATTGGCCATGAAATCAGGAGGAACCTGAATTTGAATCTATTCCCTCTATTGTATTTTTTTTAAATATTGAATACTATTTCTTTCGCATAGAAGGCCGAGATTCATTGGAATCTCCCTTTGACTCTGAAGATCATGATAATCTTGACCTATTCGACCTCCCACTGCACGTCCAACGATTTGATTTATTGTTGGATAATGAAATATTCTGGCTCTTTTACTTAATAAACCTAACGTCAATAGTGAATAATATCTTCTCTGTCTTTCTGGCCACACCGTCCCCATCAGGGTATTGTTATCCTTCATTCAAAGGTACATGTACACTCAGCTGGGAAACTTAGCAAAAGGAGACGGTGCTGTTGCTAACTGTCCAAAAGAACAGCCTTCTACGTTCAGTATTGCAAAGAAGACGACTTTCACTCGGAAGCTGGGATGTCTCCAGCTACGCAATTTGACCTTCATGCCACCGAGGCAATCCGTCATCAGAAGCACTAGGAACGTGTACTTGCCCAAATTTTTTACTCTAGTCTCAAGCAAGAGGCCTTGGATTCGCCTGAACTGCATTCATAAAAATTGATTTTGTGGAGTCAGAAACGGTCCATGTCGCTTGACGTTGGATAAATATTTACGACATGAATTCAGACGTTAAAATCATAATAGTCTGCTCTCACTCTGCACTTATTATTGGGTTGGAAATAAATTCTTGCAACACTACGCAAGTTTTTCAAAATTTCATAACATTATTGAAATGCAATTTCAGTCTACAGTGTAATGACCATTGTTGTCTATGACATGTTCCCAACGCACGGGTAGCTGCTTGATGCCCTTTGCCCCGAACTCTGGCGATTGCGAAGCGAAGAAACGGCCGACATCATTTTCGAGCTGAGCTCGATCGTCGAAGGCTTTGACACGCCTTGCTTTGTCAGAGTCGCTGAGCCGATGAGGGACCCATGTCGAGTAAACCTTCCGATAGCCGAGGGTCGTTCAGGTGGTTGCCGATGGCCATATGTGTGACTCCAAATGTAGTCGCCAATTCGCGAGTGGTGGCGTTCGGCTTCGCGTTGAGGGTGTTCCACAGGGCTTCGTCATCGACTGTTGATGGACGTCCCATGCATGGTCAATCTCCGAAGGTCGTGCCACCAGATTACAAGCGTTTCAACCATCAAGACACCGTGGAATAGTGGACGACGTTGCCCTCGAATGCAGCGCAGATGTTGTCCGCGCCGGCTCTCGTAGAGTGTTCTTGGAGGAAGTCGTCGTAGACGATGGGGCGAAGTGTTGCTTGTTCGATCGGAGCCATGGCTGCCAACTGATGGCAGAAGCCGCCTTATACACCCCGAGGGCAGAAGCTTCGAGAACATTCCAGCATATACATATGCAAAGCCCCGCCCATCATACCTTTGAAAATTCTTATAAATAGTTTTAGAAAGTGTTGCAAGACTTTCTTTCCAACCCAATATAATATATGGTATGATATGGGAAATTTATGCAAAATATGAAAACTACATATAAAACATGAAAATTTCAGCTACAATCACGAGAAAGGTAAAAAATGCAAAAAAGGATATTATTCCGATAGCGGCCTTAATTCTGGTCTGAAAGGGTTAAGGTCTGCTCACTCTTCATTCATGAGCTATGGAAATATTTCGCCCCAATATAGATCTGAAATGCGTAGCCAAAGCGTGCTTTAAAAATCTACGACTGAAGCACGCTGTACTGCGTTCGTGTCTCCATACTTCTCAAAAACATATGAAGTCTCTCCATTACCATGTCATGGAAAATCTTGACTCATGAGAGTCCTAATGTCCTGTGCTATGGTTTTATGCTAGTGTGTGTGGGATTCTTAACTGTCATTGGGATATGCTCACCTTGAAATAATAGGTGGTGTTGGGAGATAAACCATCCACGGTGATCTCTGGGGAATCATCGCACACCGTTTGAGAATCCCATTTTTCGCCGTTTTCAGCCTTGTACAAGACCAAGTAGCCCTGGACAGACTCAGCTCCAAGGGCTGGTGGGTTCCATGTCAATTTGATGTAGTCCTCTGCCACTTGGAGGGCTTCTGGGGCTCCTGGCGGCCCAGGAGGGAGGAATGGTCTTTCTCTTATGTTATTATACCAGATGATCTCGTGGAGGGGGTCTGTTTCAACAATAGGGACCTCTTGAGTCACCACGAACTGGATCTTGCCGTCCTGTCCATATTTTTCGAAGGTGGTCCGAAAATATTGAAGATTTTCTCGCAACTTTTGCATGGCATCTTTTTTCTCATGCCAAGGGATCAGTACCACATTCTGAGAGTAGTTCTCAGAGCCCTCTCTCCTGAGGTATTCTTCCATCCGGCTCAAGTATGAGTCTGTTTTTGACATGATCTTAAATTTGAAGCAGAGAACATTCTGCACACTAGGGTCACGCACAATTGAATCGAATTCATGGCGAGAAAATGCCATTTTTATTCCACTGTTCTGAATATATTTCAGTTGAATCCCAAGGATGTTCATTTCTGCCTCTTTTCCATCTAGCCAATTGGAGAGTTTCTCTAGATTAAAGGGAGAATTTTCTTTCTCCTCAAGTAAACGGGATAGATCATCTTTCTCCTTGTTCATTGCGCGTACGGATTTTAGAAGTGGAACAAGGTTTTTTTTAAGATTGAACTTGAACATGTCCAAAAGCGACTGAAAGGTTGCCAGCTGAGTCTTGATCCCGGGAAACTGATCGCTCAGCTCCGACTCAGCCAGGTCAATTGCCCTAATCTTCCTTGCATGCAAACCTTCCATGAGGTCCTCCACATTTTTCTCAACTTCTTTGCCTATTTCTCGAACCAGTTCGACTGGAAGACCGAAGAGCTTCTGAAGAGGAAAGAGGGAGATCCTCTTTGGTACAAAATGCGTACGAGCAAGGTTTGTTAAGAGCTGATAACTTTCGAATACTTCTTCAAGAGAAGTAGGAGATTTCGGCAGCAAGATATCACCGTGATATTTGATATTAATGTGAGTTTCGTTATTTTCCTCTGAGCCATCCAAATTTACTGATGNCGTGGAATAGTGGACGACGTTGCCCTCGAATGCAGCGCAGATGTTGTCCGCGGCAGCTTTCGCAGAGTGTCCTTGGAGGAACTCGTAGTAGACGATGGGGCGAAGTGTTGCTCGTTCCATCGGAGCCTTGGCTGCCAACTGATGGCAGAAGCCGCCTTATACACCCCGAGGGCAGAAGCTTCGAGAACATTCCAAGATATACAAATGCAAAGCCCCGCCCATCATACCTTTGAAAATTTTTATAAATAGTTTTAGAAAGTGTTGCAAGACTTTCTTTCCAACCCAATATAATATATGGTATGATATGGTAAATTTATGCAAAATATGAAAACTACATATAAAACATGAAAATTTCAGCTACAATCACGAGAAAGGTCAAAAATGCAAAAAAGGATATTATTCCGATAGCGGCCTTAATTCTGGTCTGAAAGGGTTAAGGTCTGCTCACTCTTCATTCATGAGCTATGGAAATATTTCGCCCCAATATAGATCTGAAATGCGTAGCCAAAGAGTGTTTTAAAAATCTACGACTGAAGCACGCTGTACTGCGTTCGTGTCTCCATACTTCTCAAAAACATATGAAGTCTCTCTATTACCATGTCATGGAAAATCTTGACTCATGAGAGTCCTAATGTCCTGTGCTATGTTTTATGCTAGTGTGTGTGGGATTCTTAACTGTCATTGGGATATGCTCACCTTGAAATAATAGGTGGTGTTGGGAGATAAACCATCCACGGTGATCTCTGGGGGATCATCACACACCGTTTGAGAATCCCATTTTTCGCCGTTTTCAGCCTTGTACAAGACCAAGTAGTCCTGGACAGACTCAGCTCCAAGGGCTGGTGGGTTCCATGTCAATTTGATGTAGTCCTCTGCCACTTGGAGGGCTTCTGGGGCTCCTGGCGGCCCAGGAGGGAGGAAAGGTCTTTTTCTTCCGTTATTATACCAGATGATCTCGTGGAGGGGGTCTGTTTCAACAATAGGGACCTCTTGAGTCACCACGAACTGGATCTTGCCGTCCTGTACGTATTTTTCGAAGGTGGTCCGAAAATATTGAAGATTTTCTCGCAACTTTTGCATGGCATCTTTTTTCTCATGCCAAGGGATCAGTACCACATTCTGAGAGAAGTTCTCAGAGCCCTCTCTCCTGAGGTATTCTTGCATCCGGCTCAAGTATGAGTCTGTTTTTGACATGATCTTAAATTTGAAGCAGAGAACATTCTGCACACTAGGGTCACGCACAATTGAATCGAATTCATGGCGAGAAAATGCCATTTTTATTCCACTGTTCTGAATATATTTCAGTTGAATCCCAAGGATGTTCATTTCTGCCTCTTTTCCATCTAGCCAATTGGAGAGTTTCTCTAGATTAAAGGGAGAATTTTCCTTCTCCTCAAGTAAACGGGATAGATCATCCTCCTCCTTGTTCATTGCTCGAACGGATTTTAGAAGTGGAACAAGGTTTTTTTTAAGATTGAACTTGAACATGTCCAAAAGCGACTGAAAGGTTGCCAGCTGAGTTTTGATCCCGGGAAACTGATCGCTCAGCTCCGACTCAGCCAGGTCAATTGCCCTAATCTTCCTTGCATGCAAACCTTCCATGACGTCCTCCACATTTTTCTCAACTTCTTTGCCTATTTCTCGAACCAGTTCGACTGGAAGACCGAAGAGCTTCTGAAGAGGAAAGAGGGAGATCCTCTTTGGTACAAAATGCGTACGAGCAAGGTTTGTCAAGAGCTGATAACTTTCGAATACTTCTTCAAGAGAAGTAGGAGATTTCGGCAGCAAGATATCACCATGATATTTGATATTAATGTGAGTTTCGTTATTTTCCTCTGAGCCATCCAAATTTACTGATGTAAGAGCTGATAACTTTCGAATACTTCTTCAAGAGAAGTAGGAGATTTCGGCAGCAAGATATCACCGTGATATTTGATATTAATGTGAGTTTCGTTATTTTCCTCTGAGCCATCCAAATTTACTGATGCACCAGTGGAAGCATCTAGTACTTTGGAGAAAATTTTATTTAGTCCTGCCTTCATTTTGGTCTCCCAGTTCTTAACATCCTCGCTGGAATTGCACTTATGGCGAAACGTGAAAAAAGCTTCTGCACCATAATGAATTCCAGTAACAACATGGGTTGCGATATCCTTGTGGGCAATGTCTTGGAACTCAATTCTTTGCTCACCCAGGTGTATCATGGACAGGGCTTTGAAATTGCTCATTGACTTGAAAATAAGGTCCACACAAGCTTCATGTGAAGATGATTTTTTATCCTTCAGGTAGCTTCCAGATCCTGAAATGATTTACATGAAATTCTTGGATTAGACCGTTTCTTTCTTTGACCTAGTTTCCCGATGAGGGTAAGCATGTAAAAACACATGAGTCTCAATAAGACACTGGTGCGCCTCTGCCTCTTGTTTTTGAAGCGCAAAAAGCAGCAGTTCCACTTATTCCAGTCATTGGGAAGGCCCAGCTATTAAGTTCGAGGTAATATAAAGGTGCAAGTAGTCAGAGACCCATGATTATTCAGTGTCTCCTAAAGGATGCCCCAATTTTTAAAGCGTGTTTAATGATATCTTTAACGCACAAAGGTATAAGTAACACATTAGTTGGAAGGTTAAACTTCAATGTAGTAGGTGGTTATGAAAATGTAATATGCAGTATGTCCTCGATACCCATCATGCAGCATACAGACAGGCGGTGACAGACAGTGACAGACGGTGTACCGCATAGAAAAATCTTCAATTACATGCTGCATGTTGAATCGCATCAAGATTATCTTCGATCATTTGTCAGAGGAACTAAATGTCTCTTGGATTGGAGACGTACGCTTTATCGCTTGCTGGAAAGAATGTTGATATTAATGTGCAGTTCATTGCTTCAGATTGGTTAAGGCCTCGCCTCATTATGTCCTGGCCACCCCTGACATTGAACTGACAGAAGCCCAGGTACAGATCTGCCATTCCACAACTCACTATGCCTCAGGAATACCATATTACAAATTATTCTATCTGCAAACTTAGAAGATTTAAAAATGTGTAAATACTCAAAAGTAGGCTTAAGTGAATAGTCCTAGAGAACTCGACTATGTTCGCCCATGATTCGCTCGTCCACGCCCTATAGAGACAGGACGGGAGCACAATCCCGAGGATGCCAGATGAGACATTTTGAGGAAAGCCCAGCAACTCTGTCTACGCTGCCGCCCAGTGGTCTCCCAAATGTCTACTGTGGATCCGTCATGCGTGAGGGTAAGAAGAGAAATGAAAGTTTTAGTAGCTGATTGGCACCCCAACTTATGCTGGATATTGCACGTGAGCACAGAATGAAGTTGTCCGGTCGCTTAAGAAACTGCCGCCACAGGGAATGAAAAAAGGAAGAAAAAAAAACTGAGTACGAGCCCAGGTACAGATCTGCCATATCACTGACCTTGATACGAGGGGCACTCCCAAAAGTTCTTGCAAATGGCATTATATATTACCTGACCCTCATTATATTTTCTGGTATTGTTCTTCTGGGATTAAATACGATTTAGTGTGTTTAAAAAATTTTTCCTCCCAAATTGGTGAAACGTGGCATGAAACCAAAATCGGTCACCTCCATAGCAGATGACCTTGACACGTAGAGAACTGCGAATGCTGATTTGGAATGGTTTCCAAACGCCCCTAACTGCGAAACAGTGTTTTGCAGAAATTAAATCATAACTGGTCTATCTTGCCCCATTCATGTGCTTTATGGATGACTAATTTCTAAGGTATGGACCTTGAGGACGAGCCCCGTGAAGGTTGTCAAATTCCAGAAGTGACTAAACAAATGAGGCTGAAGTGAAAGCCATGATTAAGGAAGACCGAATTGCGACATATGCTGTCATAGAAGAGACCCCTACGATTGAAGAGTCTGCCATTTGAAAAATTGTTCATGAAAATCTTGAGGTGTGGAAGTGTTGTTCTTGTTGGGTCCCCCATTCCCTACCTGAGGATAAAAAAAAATGGCTCGAGTCGATTTTTGCCAAGAAATGCAGAAGAAATTCAACAAAGGATCTTAAAAATTCGTGTTGTGGTGGGAAGATCACCAGAGACGATTTCTTAGCTTCATAACACTGTTTAACAGGTTTTTCGCCTTTGGAAACTTTAATAACTTGTAGCAATCGAATTTTAGGCATAATTTTTAAAGGAATACTCAAATGCAGCTGATGCTTGGTATAGATGTTCATTGGTCTATGACTTATTCGTTCCCTTGTCAGCCATGTGGTTCTACATGTTGACAGGGGTGCTATATTGCGTGCGTAGGTGATATGTGAAGGTGCACGAGGGCTCTGCTTACTTTCCATTTTGATAATAACAGCAAATCAATGTGAGACATTGCTGCAATGATAGGTTCACCATCTTTTGCTTGTAGTAGTGCGAATACTGGACATATTCCATTATTTTTAGTCCATTTATATTTTCCATCTCTTACCTTTGCTGATGCGACCGCAGGGTCACCTGCCGACATGTTAACCATATACTGGGCAAGGAAAAGAATAAGCCATAAGCCTATGAGCATCTGTCAAACATAAGCTTCATCTTACTATTCCATGAAACGTTATAACCAAAGTTCTAGTGTTACAAGTCACCGTTGAACTTAGTTTGCCGAAATCTTTTGAAAGAACTCCATGATGCAGCCGATATTTAGCAGATAGATTGATGAGTCTAAAGATTATTTTCCCAATGTCGGAAAATGGCATAGCACCTAGACAGGTGGCGCTGCGGCTGACATAAGCGCCATCTATCCGCATGCAGCCCTATCTAGCAGTATGGGAAAAAAACCTCCTAAACTCATGAACCTTTCTCTCAAATGTCAACGGCATCTGACTGCCCCTTGAAAAATTATATCCAATCATGGTGATGACATTATGATGGCCACTATATAATAGCTGTGCTTCGTAAGGCGTAGGCCTATATAAAAAGTCCTGGACAAAAAGACAATGTTCTCGATAGTTCGCACGTTTGGGCTAGGTAGAAACTGGTAGAGGGAATGAAGTGCAAGATGCCAGATGCGACATTTCACTCGTGGGCCCAACAACCCTGTCTATGCTGCTGCGAGCAGCCACTCCCTCCTGTCCACCATGAATGCTTCATCCATGAGGGCTGGGAAGTGGATGTTTTCGTGACAGACTGGCACCTCGACCAAGGCGGAAAGCTGTACAATCTTGACGGAATGAAAAAAGTGAATGACCGATCGCAATCTCAGCAATTTTTTTTTCAGTTTCTTTGGGAATGGAAGATAATGGCTCTATGACTGGACATTGATTTGGTTGACGCGATCCAGTTGAATGGCCTTCACGCTCGTCTGACCTCGTAGCCATTACTGTCTGTGGGGTTACGTCAGAGGTAAGGTGTATGCCAAAAGATATCCAGGATCCGAAGGTACTAATATTCCACTTCCAGTCGTAGATTTCCTTCCACTGTTCCCATTTAATAAAGTGATGTATAAAATTGGAAACTTTTTTAAATGGTGCCTCGTATGTCTTCAACATGGTTGGCAATAATTTGAGGGGGTACGGAAAATACTCTGTAGTCCCCTACTACCTTGAAGAATAATATTTCCAATGACTCATTACCTTACCTTCGTAAATTAACACGTTCACTGCAGGACCTATAAATACCCATAGGTATACATCATGCTGTGCGAGTCACCAGTGACTCGTGCCACAGTGCACGTTTTACAGGTAGCACTGTACACAATTTATAAGTTGGAGTAACCTTCGTTGAGGCACCTTGTGCCTATTGACATCGAAGAGAAAGCAAGTCCAGGTTCAAGTACTGGCCGTCCTGAGATCTCATGACTATAAATCTGTTCACTTTCCAACTATTGGACATGAAAAGATCATTAGGCTTACCCTGAGACTTTCACTATCCTACTTTGAGGCTACTGATTTCTTCCTTTAAGATCTCTCTTAATTTCTACATAGTTGACGTTCCTACCTGACAGCTCGACCAAATCCATGAGGAAACTGAGCTTGAGGTTGCCATCAATGTTTAGAACAGAACTCTTTTTTTTGAAGCTGTCAGCTATGATGATCTCAGTAGATAAGGACTCTGTTGGTGTTTCTGTGCAGGCTACAGCCAGAGTCTTTGGGTTCCACAAAGTCACCCCAGACACGAGCTTGTCAGTTCTCCTGTCGTATAGGGATCCCAGTTGGAAGGGTCTTCCTAAACCTGCGATCTCCAGTTGGTCTGACATTTGTGCTTCTTCGAGGACCTCCTCCATATTGACCGGATCCTTGTGAACCATTTTTTAAAATGGTAATCATAATTCAATGAGTGAATTTTAATTTCGAAGATCATAGGATGTTTGCAAACCTGATCCGCTTCCAAATGATGCCGGTCAGGTTGTTTCTGTGCGGGGATGAGAACGTCAGCTGCGAGTTCCTCTTCCAGATTGACCCGTTTCTTGTCAATCTTTTTTTCAACGGAAATCAAAAGCTACTGAATCACTTTTTCAAAGTATAAAATCGAAGTCCATGGAATGCATGTGGTGGCACAGCCACAGGGACATTTTGATATGAATGACATTTGCTGGGATGGAGTGGAGAGATGCAATATACTATATACATACTATGTACATCCAGTTAGTGGTTTGAAATTGAAGATGCCTAGGGTTTCTTGCTCAAGAAATGTGGATGTGTTAAGGAAGCGCTTCACACCACAGACACAGCTGATTTTTTGTAGTAAATGGAGGACGACGGCAGCTACTTTCTAGTTATACAGGTATATCCGTACTGTAAAATCAGGGTTGGAGGCACGAAATCAATTTGTTCGACTTCTTTGCTCCAGATATAGAAACTGTCCCATCGTTCGCTGTTCCCATTTCGATGTCTTCATGGAAAAAATTGTTTCCTTTTTTTAAGTAGAAGAAGTTTTCTTTCGTGACCTATTGGATTCAGTTCTTATCCTCCTGGATTGATCAAATGGATTATGAATGGGACTGAACTCTTAGCTACACCTATTGGACGAGGGTACCCTTTATTGGCCGGGAGGAAGAGCACCTGATAATTTGCTTCGAAGATGCTTTGAGTGACTGAAGGGGAATATGGTCATATTTTCATTTTTTCCCATATCACTTCTGCCGCGAGAGATATCTCGAAAAATCAAATTAGTTGGAAATATTGGTTTTAGAATGATACTCACTCTGGCAGGAGAAAGTCTCTGTCTTCCTAGATGTGTTTACATTACCAGCATTTGAAAATGTAATAGCTTCCATTCATTGCATCATGTGTGAGTGTTATACTGCATCCGTCCGAATCCCGGTTTGTCAGATCTATGCGGCATCAGCCTAATGAGGGGCTAAAAGGGGGAGAAGTAGGAAGAGTCAATCTAATTAGCAACCCCCGAACCCAAGGGGGACTCTGCTCTTTTATTTACACATTTTATTTTTACACAGAAAAACCTCTGGAACCTCAAACGGCCATGTCATTCAACTACTTATTCAGCCCAAAACGAAATCTGGAAAATTGAAATATTAGCTTAGAGAAATAAGAAATTAAATGTTGTTGGCGTAATCGATCAGCCCCAGGGGGGGGCTATTCGGTCACATGTATTCCGTGTCAGTGTTTGCTTTATTGCTCCATTGCAGGGGTTAATAGGTAAAATAAGAAATACTTCCCAAAGCGCAGGTTGGCCTATCGGGACCAAAAAGCCCCACACCACACTATACTACTGTGCTCTTTTATTTTGGGGGGAGGAGGGG